ACAGTTGCAATAAGTATAAACTTCACTACATCATTTCAATATTTAGAATGGATAATGCTTAAGTAAATATCAGAAAAAGTTTAACAGAAGTCGAATTGCATATTAAAAGAGAATATCGATGCAACAAAAGTCACAATTCACGAGAATTCAAAAGATATAAATAAACGAAACCACGAAGCGATTTTGGTCGAAAACGTATCGTTGTTTTCGTGTGGGTAAAGGAGGGGAAAAAAAAGAGTATATAAACCGACGAGGCGACGAAAATAAAAATCACATTAAACCCGAGGAAAGGATAACTGAACTAACGCGAGAAGAAAGGTTCGAAAGAGGTAAGAAAATGGAAACGTACGAAAGCAGAGAGGATTCAGTGGAGCAGGAGAGGCATTGAGTCGGAAAATAGATGAAAGATGAAACAGAATTTTCTGCGGTAAAATCTAGACCGAAAAGGAACGGAAGAAATTGAAATAAGGTTGTTGGCATTGTGGAAGAAATATAAATTGGAGAGAAAATTTCGTATCGATTTTAGTTTTATTTAAAAAAAAAAAAAATTGGATAATTATTATTTTTTTAAATTTTCTAACAAACCTAATTTTTAATGAAATTAATATTTAAAACACGAGTAGAATTAATATCGATATAAAATTTCTCTGTAATTTAATGTGTGTATACTTCGTGAAAATTAGTGTTTCTAATTAGTGTTTCTAAATTACATTTCTTTAAATGTAATTTAATAACTAATTCTATGAAATATTCCATTAAATTCGAATTTTATCTTAATTTCATTAAAAATGTAATTTCATTGTAAATTTGAAATTTCAATTAACTCACAAGATATGAGAATAAGGGATAAATTATCCCCTAAAATAGAGGATATGCCAAATTGAATGGCGAGGAAGAAAAATGTTTGTGCGGAAAATTAAACGAGCTTGGCTCGTGATGTGAGGTTTGTTATCCCGATGACATCGATGAATTAATACCTTATTAGTCGCCAGTTTGTTAAACGTTGAACAATAAAAGAGACATTTGTAATAATTCTACGCTCCCTAATTGAAAGTATTTTTTTTTAAATTATTTCAAATTTAAAATTATTAAAGTGTTATCTACATTTTTCTTAGAAATAAATAATTCAAAAGGTTGAATGATTTGAATATATGTGTAATTTAATGTTTGAAATTAATTGGGTTAATTAAATATAATTTTCAAGTGCTCAATGTACTAAGTAAGTGCTTGTGTCAAAAGTCAAACATGAAAGTTGTAGCACGAGTCGAGTTTCTACCTAGAATTAAATTTAATTCACAGAATAAATTGAATTTTAATTTTAAAGATTGTTCAGCTTGAGGATTATCGAAAAAAATAAACACATTCGTGAGAATAAAAAAAAAAAATCAAATTATATATTCGTATTCGAGATATATGGAATTGATTTTAAGCTGAATTATCGACAATAAACAAAATAATTAAAATTTATCCGAGTGAATAGCAATAATTTATTCAATGAACCATAATGATAACTAAAAAATTCAATTAGCACAATGTTATTTCATGAATGTGCAAATATATTACATGGTCGAAATTACACGTTAATAATTAATCGTTTTATCATGGTTACTACTAATCATTATGAAACGTATTTTAATTAGAACGTTGTTAATATTCATCGTACGTATGCAACATTGAAGATTTCTATAAATACGCGATATTGAAACACCAAGTATCGTCGTATTCTATTTCTATTTCAATTTTCTATTATTTCTTTTTTCTTTTTTTTCTTTCCGGACGAAAGCTAAGTTCTAATTTTGTTACAATCTTTCTTTCTTTTAGATCTCTATTTTTTTTTTTTTTTTTTTTTTTTTAGAATCGATCAAAAATAACTGAGGTTAAATGATAATATTTTCGTACGATAATCGTAATATTTCATGGCGGATGTAAGAACGTTCCATCTTTTTATTTAAGACTCTTTTTATTCGTGTAAAAATCGATAATATTCTTATTTTTACATTCGCTATACATTCACGTATAATTACTACACTGTCTAGTTGCGAAAATTTATTATTTCTCTAGGAGAATTTTAAAATAAAGAACAATAAAAATAATAGATAAATCAACGTAGTAAAACACGTTTCAGACATATTTATAAGAGAAATTAACAAGTTGAATTTCTTTGTAGTTCTATTATTTATAATACGATTCGATATTTATAATATAATAAGATAAGAAAATTTTTTCCCTTCAAGATTTGAATAAACCTCTTTTTTTTTTTTCAAAAAATACTATATTTTAAAAACTTTATTAAAAAAATATATACTAACAACTGTTTCTAATATTTTGCTTTTTCTCATAATAATTGAAGACTGATTGTTCAAATGATTATTCAATTGCATCAAAAGTTAAATACTTCTGTATACCCATTACTTATCCCTTTACAATCTCCCAATTTCGTCAAAATACCTCAAAAAACATAATATTCGATATTCCAAAAAATGAAAGATACAAATATCTCGTATCCATTATTCGAATCAATATAAAATCCACAACGCTTCGAATCCATAAAATCCGCGAAATCGATCGAAAATCTAAAATTCGACAAACGACGCAACTTAAATAAATCTTCGTCCCCATAACTCCTTCGCCGACAGAATACTCCTCTTTTTTTTTTTTCACGACGTCCATCGCGTAAATAATCGCAGCATAAAATCGAATGTTTCGATCGTGGCTCGACGTGGATTTCTTACGAATTCATTCACGCTCTTTCTCTCTCTTTCCCTTCCTCCCTCGTCGACGAGCCAGGAGCCCCACAGGAATCCGATTTACGAACGGATAACGCCGATATTTGATTTATCCTGGCTGGCCCGCCCGTTTGTTCTTCGATTCGCGTCACGCTCTCCCTCCTTGCGCCCCCTGTTTGTTTCGTTTTTCAAAGGGGTGGCCGGGGTTTTTGTGCCACGCTCGCAATCAACGCCCTTTGTCTCCCTTAAAGCTCGAAAACTCGGCCTCGTGTCGAGGCCGATGAGAACCATCGCCGCAGTTCCCACTGATAAATTTCGATCGAAAATTCGTAGCTGGTCGTGTATGGTATGGATCGTGTACGGTATACAGAGGAGGAGGGGGAGGGGAGGGGGAGATTGATTCGAGCTCGAGCGGGGGTTGATTGTGAGCGGAGGAAAAAATGCAGTAATTGGTCACGTTTAAAAAAGTAAAGTGGTGTGAGCGATGGCGATGAAGGTTTTTTTTTTTTCTTTTTTCTTTTTTCTTTTTTCTTTTTTCTTTTTTTTNTTTTTTTTTTTTTTTTTTTTTTTTTTTTTTGAAAGGATCTCGCGCCGGTTCAATTTGCGCGGCATACAGGGTTTTCTGTTTTTGATAATTTTGGAAGGCGAGGAGGAATGTTGGTATTGTTCGCGTGGATGAAATTAAATTCGTGTGAATAGTTGCAGAGGTATTTTGCTCTGTTGTCCATATTGGAGAAATTAATGTAACCTATAATGTACAATAATAACAGTTGAATTAACAATGATCAGATTGTAAGATTCAATAAATTCAATTGAAATTTTTTTCAATGGATTTATTAAAATACCATTTAAAGAAGGATTCAGAATAAATGGAATTTATTATTTTTATGGCACACAAGGTTCTTGATAATTTTGGAAGTTGGTATTTAATTGTTCAAAAGGATGAAATTATATTGTGTGAATAGTAAGGGTGTCTGTCCATATTGAAGAAATTAATGTAACCTGTAATATACAATTGAATTAACAATGATCAGATTATACATTTAATAAACCCAATTGAAATTCTTCAATTTTATGTATAGACTTCTATTAATTTTCAATGGATTTATTAAAATACTATTTATATTTCCAATTTAAAGAATCATATAGAATAAATAAAACTTATTATTTGTGTGGCATATAAGGTTCTGGATAATTTTGGAAGTTGGTATTGAATTATTCAGGAGGGTGAAATTATATTGTGTGAATAGTTGTAGGAATATACGTATATAATAATAACAATTGAATTAACAATAATCAGACTGTACACTCAATAAACTTAAAATTTTATAGACTTTCATCAACTTCCCTGGATTTATTAAAATTTCCTATGGATTTATTAAAATACTATTTATATTTCCAATTTAAAGAAAGATTCAGAATAAATAGAACTTATTATATTTGTGTGGCAAAATAAGGTTCTTGATAATTTTGGAAGTTGGTATTGAATTATTCAGGAGGGTGAAATTATATTGTGTGAATAGTTGTAGGGATATTTGCTCTGTCCATATTGGAGAAATTAATGTAATTTATGATATACGTATATAATAATAACAATTGAATTAACAATAATCAGACTGTACACTCAATAAACTTAAAATTTTATAGACTTTCATCAACTTCCAATGGATTTATTAAAATACTATTTATATTTCCAATTTAAAGAAAGATTCAGAATAAATAGAACTTATTATTATATTTGTGTGGCAAAATAAGATTCTTGATAATTTTGGAAGTTGAATTATTGAATTATTTAGAAGGATGAAATTATATTGTGTGAATAGTTGCAGGAATATTTGCTCCATCCATATTGGAGAAATTAATATTATTATTGTACAATATACAATAATCAAACAATTTAATTGAACTTCTTCAATTTCATAAACTTGCACCAACTTCCAATGGATTTATTAAAATATATACTATTTATATATCAATAATTTGAAGAAAGATTCAGGATAAACTTATCATGATTGAAATTATTCCTACCAAACCTCTCCATCCTTTTCATTTTCATCGACAATTCCTTGACATTGCACATTCCACGGATCCATCCTCGAGGCTCGCGCTATAAGAAGGAGCGGCGTGTAGCCGGCGTATCGTGGGCCACGGCTTCGTGGTGGCCATCGTCGTCCTAATTATACGTGTTTCTCCGTATTTCTGGAATTAGACTGAGGATGGGGCGTGCGGCGTGTGCGGTGTGTGCTCGCTCTCTCGCGGAGGCGTGTTTCTGAAGCTCAGTCGCGCGTGATCCACCTCGAATCGCGCATTCATCCACCACGAAGAAACCACTTACGCGAAACCGACTTCGTCGCTTCGTTTGCAGCGAATCGCCCCTCCTCCGATGGGGCGTCCACCCAGGTATCGATCCGTGCCCCGAGTACCGATCGATCGTCGTCGATCATCATTCTGAATTCTCCTCTTCTCGCCCATAATCAATAATAACTCCCATCTCCCTCTCGATCTCTCTTCTCAACGTTACCCAATAATCTTACGAATAACAACTAAACATCGTACAATCATCGACAAGTTAAAAAGTCGTGACAAGTGTCGCATTTCCGCAATTCGGATCGAATCAATTTCGGATCGATTTAAATTAATTTGGATCGAGAGTGGATCGAAGGTGTTCCTCGATCGCATCGAGTTCAAAGAGTTCGAGCAACTTGTGTGTCGATCGTGAGATTCAGTGAAGGGATTACGATTATTATTGTTGTAATTATTTCCTCCCCGAAGTGAAGCTTGAGTTGTGAAAGTCGTAGGGGAGAGATCGAGATCGTAGATCGAGCATGGCGACCACTCAGGTATTCCAGGATTGGGACTCGCCCCACGAGACCATCAGCTCCATGACAAGGACGAGCACTCGTAAAACTACGACTAAGACCACGACCAGGCGAGAGGTAAGGAAAAAAATCTGGAAAATGAGAGAGATATTATCGGTAAAGTAAATGGTAAATTTATTTTATGGAGCGTTTTGTAAGAACCTCGGTGGTGTGTAGTTGTAGTAATTGGGTTATGGAGTGGGTCAGCTGCGAATTTATTTAAGTCGCGGAATAAGTTTGGAGACTGGTAAGCCAACTGTTTACAGTTGTGTATGCGTACGTTTCTGGTCGAGCAGGCTGTTATGAAGACAGAAAATGAAACTACGAGCTTTTGTGCAGTTTCGAAATTAGGTCTTTTGGATAAGTTTGGAGAGGATTGTTTTTCTTTATTTTCAAAAATATTCGATATCTTTGACGAAGCGATGTTGGTTCGAGAGAAAACCATATTTTTCACTACCTAACATATTATTAGTTTCAATAATTGCTTCATCTGACAGTAAAAATGGAAGAAAATATTATTACAATCAAGTCGATAAAACCGCTTAATCACTTAATATTACATAAATCATAATTCCTCAAAATAATCAATCAAAATATCTCCTCCGGTTTTAATATATATCCAGAAAGAAACAAATTTTCTAAAAATAATTACATAAAAATAGCAAGCTTTTCATTCTTCCACCACGAAGTGCTTGCCTTCAATATCTTCGCGTCCAAATAGTTCCTATTTAAATCATCGAACCGAAAGCATCCACAATTCCATCACCACGTGCGCATTTATTATTAACGATACCCTCGAAACCTGCAAACATTCACAAACTTTCCGAATCGATGCTCCACCGCGTTGAATCTTAAAATTAGAACGCATCAAACGCAGCTAATATAATTCTCGGAAAATTTCAAATAACATTGCAACGACCCATCCCTTCCTCGACGCATTCTTCTTCTCGTCGAGAGAAGTACTCGTTCTTCTCGTAACACCTTTTTAACGCGCGTTACATAACCTTTTCACATTATTCGAGAAATTGTTTAACCTTATCAAAAACGTTTGCCGTCGAAATGCCGTCGTCCATTGGCCGCGAATCGAGGGGGTGATGGATCGACTTCCGGTCTCGCAGTATTTTTCTAGAGGAAGGATATCCTATAAACTCTCGAGGTGTTCGAGGATCGCAGTTGATGTATGCTCGTTTGACGATTCGGTGGACAGTAGTCGAGGCGTAAAATTGTCGTTGCGTGGAAATCAGATGGATGAAAAGGAGGATGGTTGATCGAATGGTTGAGAATTACGTGAATTTTTTTCCTTTTCTTTAAAGACGTACGATTTTCGTTTCGCGTAGGGTTCGTTTTGGAATGGAAAGTTTTCAAGTTTTGCTCGAAATTGAAAATTTGTAATTTAAGTTAGGCCAAGGAACGAGAGAATATCTTTTTTTCTCTTGTTATCGTGAAAAATGTTATTATTATATACAATATAATATTTTTAAAGGAAATTTCCATGTTATTACAATTTTCTTTGAACGCAAAGCAGAAATAAAATTCGTTCTCTGGTCGATTTTCAAGAGCAAAGTCAATGTTAGGCTTCGATCATCGAATTTGAAGTCGGATTTAGAAAACAGTCTTGCTTTCTATATTTAACTTCACGAGGACGAAGAATCGTCAAAACATTCGATATATAATATTATAAGATAAATATTCTCTCTAAAATCGATATTCCGGAAAGAATTTTAAATACGATACGCGAACGCCAAGTTTTTCGACATTTAATATCGTTCGATCGTCTATTTATTGAAAAAAAAAAAAAGAAAAAAAAAAGATTTTAATTTCCATCCCCACGGAGGAGTTTCAATTAACGACATTTCATTTTTGCATCGGGAAACGTTTCATTAAAAAAGTATTTGCTGCACGTATCGTACCGCGGTTCCGTTTATTCCGTTCCGTAATTTTATACGTGTCTCTTTTTGTACAAAGGTTTGAAACAAAGTCGTTACGATTATTATAATAAAGAATGTAAAGGGAGAGGAAACAATTCAGCGCGATTTGCTTTTAACTTAACCGAGTTTTTGGAGACGACGTTCTCCGAACCATTTATAGGAGAGTTGCCAGGATCCAAGGTCGACTAAAACCGTGGTAAACACCTGTGAAAATCGTGAAGACGCTCTAAGTAATCTCGCTGTCTGTTTTCTTTCTCTTCCTCTGTTCTTTATGCATTCGTCGTAGTTTTCATGAAAAATAAGAGACGTGTCGTAAATATCGATTTCGAGATACTTTAAAGATATTTGTAAAAGAATCTTATGGTAATATTTGCTTTATGAGAATTTGCAAGAAAGAAATTTAATTGAGAAAAGGAATAAATATAGAAGATTATGAAATGAATGAATACAATTAAATGTAAATTTTGAGATTATAATTTTAAAATCAGAAAATTATTGTTATTTTATTATGAATGGATACGAGTATTTTTCCAATGAACGAATCGAATATGGAAATATATTTTTTATCCGAAAGTTGGACAAATATTATTTCCTGCTATTCAATAATTTGCATAATCATATCGAGAATCGAGAATAAATATATCATTATATAAAATCCATGAATCATAGAAATATGAATTTTTAGCATGGATCGTTTTCAAGAATTATTATTTATTCGGCTCATTTGGAAACATTGTGAGTATTAATTATATACGAATCATCGAAGTTTGTTTGTATATTTTCGTTGCCAGTTTCGAGGTCAGTTTTAAACAACATCGTAAATAAATTAATGCAGTTGGATGGTTAACGCAATAATTTAATCATAATGAAAGATCAGGAATATATATCAGAATTCGGAGAAGTGGAACGATGCCATTGTTGGTCAGACACGTGAAACGTACGATTTTTAGAATGTCGCTGCTTTCGGGATCGAGAAGAATAAATACAGATCCGTACAAATGTCATCTACAATATTTGGCATTAATACAATATTACGGTCATTAATAATTACACGAAAATCTAGGGAAATATTTTTCATCAATTTTCACTTCTTTATAACGCCAGCAAGGAACAACGAATTACATTAAGATTATTGACAAATATGAAAATTTGAATATATTAATTTCCAATCATTTATCCATTATTAAAGATACTGACACTCGATTACTTCACATTTCAATTTGTAGAAAGAATTTTTAATTAATATTTATCCCAACTTATATATCAAGTATATATATATATATATTTAATTCTTAATTTCAGGATGACTTTTTCTTTTTCCAATGTATGTATAAATAATAAATAATAAAATGAGTAAAATTTACGCAAATAATTATTAAGGAACAAATTTTAGACTCTCTGATCACGATGTTCAAAGAAAGATGCATGCGTCTCTCTTCATTTCATTTTTAGTCACCGGACAGATAAATCTATCGTTATAAATTTAAGTTCAGAAATAGAGAAAAGAAAAAAAGAAAAGAAGAGGAAACGAGAATGAATAATTCTTTTGAAAAATAACTGTTAGAGCAACGTTCTTAGATCGAGAAACCTTGGTGATTCATATTGCACGCTTTTTATATCCTTCGTATCGTTCTAATAATTCGTAAAAAAAAAAAAAGAAAAAGAATTCCTCAAATTCGATACAGATGGTTCAGTCCAAACCCTATTAATCTTATACATTGAGAATGTTGTTAGATCGATAACAAGTTCACATGGTTGTTACACGTTCTTTCTATCCCGGTTTTCACTTTTGCGTACATCTCGTGTTTTTCTTGGATGATCTTAGACTTGGTTTTATAGATGTTTGCTATAGCTGTGTCGATGAGATAAGTGATCCTCTTCTGTTTATCCTATATTATATGTTTGCACCATTATTATGTATAGCTCGAGCTGTTATTCTGGATTAATTGTACCGCCATTTGAAATCTTCCAACTCTGCTACAATTTATGCACCATTGCCTGTGCTTATACAAGAAGATACAAATAACAAATACTTCATCTTATTTCTGGTATCTAATATTGCCCCTTCTTTTTATTTTTCATATTTAATTTTCTATTTTAACTTATATTACGTGCTAGAAAATATTGATATTAGGATGAAATAGAGAATTTAATTTTCTGTACTATAAGTGTCCGTCATATACAAATTTAATCATCATATATCATTTTAATATTCAATTTTACCGATATATCTTGATGATATTTTCTGAGTTTATTTTTTAACATTCATAATAATTTTAATCTACAGAGAAACATGGAGTACCTTTTTATTTTTTATTTTTATTTTTTCGTTATATTATCATCGATAGAGAAAGAGAGAGAGAGAGAGACAGAGAGAGACTATTATTATTCTGACGAATATGAATCGTCGGTAAATTATTAAATTTGAAACACATTGCAATAACACGGAATGCAGAATTAAGTTTGAATCGCAGTTTCTTGCGCAAAGATAAAACGAATTAAAGTCGTACACTGTTGTTTGATCACGGCAATGTGCCATTCTAGCCTTATCCTTAATCTTGTGACGCAAGATGGAATCTTTGCAAGAAATCTTAGACATAGATTTATTTATCATTGCGCATATTTCCTGCACGACATTATTCCTGCCAAATCGACTTTTTTCTTTATTAATTTCAATTAATTTTTAAAATTTCACGAATTCGATGATCCAATAATCAATGTTTCTCGCGTTGAATAGAGAATATAGAATATCAACGAACGAAATCGTTAACATTTATCAAATTGTTTCGAATATATTTTTCGATACAAGATTTTATAATCATTTTGTTAAAGTTATGAGAGTTATAGTTATATGTGTCGAAATTATTATAACTTTATATCGTCGTAGATTATGATATTTACGTATCACGAGATACACTCGTGATGAAATTTAATTTTGGTTCACGAAGCCGAGAAATGATAAATACACGCTTTGGTCACAGAGCTTTTTTATCCGTGCATACGCCAAAGAATATTAACTCTTTTGCGCGTGATATCGAAGGAAATCAGGATCCGTATAAATATTAAATCCAGATATTAATTTACGCGTTCTTGGAGATATTATACAGAGTAATTTACTTCTGAAATAAAAATCAAAAATTTAAAGTTAAA